CTGCTGATGTCACGGTCTTGTCACTAATGTTCATTTAGCATCAGAACTTATTTTCTCCCACGGGGATAAACTGTTTGCACTGACAATATCACGAGCTCGTGTAGTAACTTCATGTGAACTCTAGATCCATGTGTCAGTGCACAGACAGAGGTGTTTTCTGCTCTCAGGCTGCGCCAAACCACAGACCGTAAATATGAATGGACAATGTGCCAAACAAATAACCTGTCCAGATAGTAAACATATATTTTATCATTTTACCTCCTGTATGGACTAAAGCTGTTTTTTTTTGTTTTTTTTAAATGATGTTTTATGTCGGAAGCTTCACTTTTTCTTTGTTTGGTCAGAACATAAACTCTTTCCAGTCTGAGCAGCGTCAAAACAATGACATCTTCTGCTTTTTATAAAGAAATACTATTAATATTACACAGAATTGAGTTAAACATTTTGGCCTCCACAATATTTTCTGTTTCTCATGTGAGAAAAACATGGAAAAAATAACTGCCAACTAAAGTTGGGAGGTATCTGAATTTTGACCATTTAATACCATTAAACCTTCTCAAGATTTTACCGGGGTTTACAGTACGACTGTGTCACCAACATGTTTTAGTACGACTTTGGTAAACTACGAAGTCGCACCGCTGTAGAGTCTGTACGTACGACCTGCAGACTTATAAACTCTGAAAAGTTTTCAACAAGTACTAGTATTTTTGTGTTTTTTTGGAACCAACTCGCTTGCAGCCGGTTTTGCCAACTCGCCTTATGAGCGTCACGTGACAACGGAACTAAACTAATCGAACGTCGTCTCCCCACACAGTTAAAAGAAACATTATAGTTTTAAATCGTGAAACATAAAACTGAAAATACAACCACAAACTAGCAAACTAATGTAGGGATCAATAAATTATAATATTATATCAGGTCCTTATGTAATGACACTGATACTGTTGATACTTTTTGATACCGTGTTAAAACGGAATCCTGTATTACCACCAAATCCTTCTGCCCAACCCTGGTTTAAAGGAAACGTAACTGTCCAAACTAAACGTGGGATAAACCAAAAAGATCATGTCCCAATGTTTAAGTCATTAATGTTCCTGCTACAACTTGAACAGTTTAACATCAGCATCCTTCAGTTCAGTGTGCGTGTGTGTGTGTGTGCTCAGAGTGTGTGTGTGTGTGCTCAGAGTGTGTGTGTGTGTGTGTGTGTGTGTGTGTGTGTGTGTGTGTGCTCAGAGTGTGTGTGTGTGTGTGTGTGTGTGTGTGTGTGCTCAGATGTGTGTGTGTGTGTGTGTGTGTGTGTGTGTGTGTGCTCAGAGTGTGTGTGTGTGTGTGCTCAGCTCAGAGTGTGTGTGTGTGTGTGTGTGCTCAGAGTGTGTGTGTGTGTGCTCAGAGTGTGTGTGTGTGTGTGTGTGTGTGTGTGCTCAGTGTGTGTGTGTGTGTGTGTGCTCAGAGTGTGTGTGTGTGTGCTCAGAGTGTGTGTGTGTGTGTGTGTGTGTGTGTGTGTGTGCTCAGAGTGTGTGTGTGTGTGTGTGTGTGTGTGTGTGTGGATGGAATCAAGATGTTTTTTTTTTTTTTTTTAACTCCTTTTGAGCATTGACTTTTATATTAAAATCGTTCCCCTCGTGTAACAATTTGCTCAAATCAAACAAATGAAATGAAATGGAAACACGTACGGCTGCGGTTCTTGTTGAAGTTGTGGAGGGGGTCGACGCCCGTCTCCTGCTCCTCCGACTGCAGAGGGTGACGAGTCTCAAAGTTTGGGTGCTGCATGACTGGCACCCACCCACCCACACCTGAGAGACACACACACAAACACACAAATAAACACACAAACCAGAGCAGTTATCAGCAGAGGCCGGAGTACTTGGGTATATTTACTTGAGTAACTTTTAAAAGGTCACGTTTTACTCTATTTTCTGATCTTCTAAAGTCGTTTCCTCGTCGCACAAACACACCTGGACTTGTGTTTTGTTTCATTCACATGTTTAACACACAAACCTGCAAATCTTCTCTCTAACTGAAAACACTGTTCCAACTTGTGATGTCATGTGGTGATCAGTGGTGTAGTGGGGATTTTTTAAGAGGTGGTACATGATTCATGACACCGTCGATGTGATGAAGACAGGTGTCGTATCGACTGTACAAACATAAAGGCTCCAGCACAGTAAAAAGCAGAAATATTTTATGATTTTTTTTTTTCCTGAAAATGATGCAGAATCATTTTATTAACATCAACGCTGTTTATAATCAACTACAGAAAATAAACCACAGACTACACAAGAACCAGGACTAAACCAGGACTAAACCAGGACTAAACCAGGACTAAACCAGGACTAAACCAGGACTAAAACCAGGACTAAAACAGGACTAAAACAGGACTAAACCAGGACTAAAACAGGACTAAACCAGGACTAAACCAGGACTAAAACAGGACTAAAACAGGACTAAAACAGGATTAACCAGGACTAAACCAGGACTAAAACAGGACTAAAACAGGACTAAACCAGGACTAAAACCAGGACTAAAACAGGACTAAAACAGGACTAAACCAGGACTAAAACAGGACTAAACCAGGACTAAACCAGGACTAAAACAGGACTAAAACAGGACTAAAACAGGACTAAAACAGGATTAACCAGGACTAAACCAGGACTAAACCAGGACTAAACCAGGACTAAAACCAGGACTAAAACTAGGACTGAATCAGGTCTAAAACAGGACTAAAACAGGACTAAACTAGGACTAAAACCAGGACTAAAACCAGGACTAAAACCAGGACTAAAACCAGGACTGAATCAGGTCTACAACAGGACTAAAACAGGACTAAAACCAGGACTAAAACTAGGACTGAATCAGGTCTAAAACAGGACTAAAACAGGACTAAAACCAGGACTAAAACTAGGATTGAATCAGGTCTAAAATACGACTAAACCACAACTAAAACCAGGACTGAATCAGGTCTAAAACAGGACTAAACCAGGACTAAACTAGGACTAAACCAGGACTGAACTAGAACTAAAACCAGGACTAAACCAGGACTTAAACCACAACTAAACCAGCTCCGCAAAGCTCAATCGGGCAACAGCTGCTCTTAGTTCTGTGGGGTGTGGGGTTCTGCGCTCTTCAGTCCTGGTCCGGTCCTGGTCCGGTCCTGGTCCGGTCCTGGTCCGGTCCTGGTCCGGTCCTGGTCCGGTCCTGGTCCAGTTTGTTTTCACCGTTGTCAGTTGGTCCAGTTTGACATTTAAGTCGTATTTATTTTATATTAGTTGTTTTTTTTATCTCTCACGTCGGTAAAAGTGTGTTGACGACAAATCCTCTCGTACTAGGCCCACTACACAGCTGGAGGTGATACAGGAAGTGCTCCACTGTGTTTTTAAACTCCACACTTTCACTAGAATCATTTGGATCGTTTGAGAAGATAAACGGAGCTGTTCACTTAAAGTACCACTTCATGACATCACAGTTTAGAGATGTAGACAGACAAAACACAACTGCAGGTTTATTTTTGAAGAGGAAACAACTTTAACTTAAAGCTCAGAAGAGAAAACGTGACGTAACACAGAGAAGAATTAAACAAACTGCAGCACATCTGATTTAGTTTGTCTCATTTTTGTGTCTGTCCTTTGAAAACACCAGATTTTCAGACTTATTTCATGTTTTGTCATGTTACTCTTACTTGAGTTTTTTACTTCTTTGACCACTACTTTGTACTACTACTTCAGTAATATTATTTCGTAGTAATATTCTTTTAGTTTTCTTTTCCTTTCGTTCTCTGGCTTTAAATCCGCGCGAGTTGTGTGCTCCTCTGTGTCTTTATGGTTTTGTTTTATTGATTATTTATTGTAATGCGTCTGTTTTACTGTTTTTATTTTGTTGTTCTTGTCTTAAATGGCAGGTTTTATTTGTCTTTGTGTGATTTGAGCGGAGTCTGGTCGTCCTGTCCCCGTGTTTGCGAGGACGGAGCTGGTGCAGTGTGGCGCAGGACTCACCGTGAGAGCCTCGTGACTCCAGACGCCGCTCGGATAAAGACACGATTCTGCGGGAAACAGAGAACAGTGGTGAACACAGAAGCTCGAGAGGACTGCGGACTGCACACCGCGCTTCACTCGCTCGCACACACACACACACACACACACACACACCGGGTTCACACTGGGTCCTGGTGTGAACGTGTCTCAGTCCAGATTTAGTTCTGGTTTGGTCCCAGCGTTGCAGAGATGAGAGAGCAAATGTGAACTCAACCGTAAAAAAGAAAGACTTACTATTGTGCTGGTGTGTGTCTGTATCTCTAATCTCTGTTCCCCGTGGGGTCGTTCTGTTCTAACTGTGACATTTTAATTCACAACACTGAGCTGAAACGACTCCATAAAAAAAAAAAAAAAAAAAGTGCTCTGAGCTCGGCGTTAGAAAACTGTGGTGTCCAGTGGAGCTGACGTGGCCGTAAACGTCACCACAACAAGTCAGAGTCCTGAACCCGCCGCCGCCGCGTCCCCGTGAAGAGTTTCTGAAACGGGCGGGTTTTAACATTCTAGAACACAGGTGTCAAACATAAGGCCCGGGAGCCAGATCCGGCCCTCCAAGACCTTTAATGTGGCCCTTGGGTGATTTTCTATTAAAATATTTTAAATGTTGAAATTGAATTTTTCTTAAAGTTTCAGGTTGTTCATAATATTATAATATTATAATAAGAAAGAGTTCATCGATTAAAAAACATTTCTGTAATAGATTTGCATTTCTCTGCACAAATATTTGAACTTATTGTTATTTTTGGGGTTTATATGACATGAGTTTTCTGATCCAGCCCCTTTGGGATCAAAGTAGGTTGGATACGGCCCCCGGACCAAAATGAGTTTGACACCCCTGTTCTAGAATTTTACAGGTTCTAGAGTCGGGTGAAGTTTTGTTTACAAGGAATTTATTTTTTATAATATTTCATACATTTGTTGCTTATTTGAGAATATTTTATTTAACTTGTTAATATTACCAATAATAATATAACCAACCAACAATAATAACATTACCAAGTAGCATTTATTTTAATTTTCCCGTTTGTATAATGTTCAAACAAATTGTTGGTTTCATAAAAACACAGATAAAATAAAGTAAAGTATGTTCCCAAATTGAAACAAAAATGAACCGAACTGTGACCTCAAACCCGAGGTGCGTATCAAACTGTGGTTTTGTACCGTTACACCCTTAATGTCAGCGCCGTCCACGCGACAATGTTTTTTGGTCAAAACTGTGACGTTTTATTCGTTTTGATCTTTCGTCCACACGGTTCCAGAGTGGAGAAATCTGAGAACGTGTGGACGAGCAAATAGAGCTGTCGCAATAACCGCAAAAATTAATTACCACAGTACTAAGAGGTTCACCGCGGTCACCGAACGAGACCAACGTGACCCGACCCAGAGCCCTGCACGGGTCCATTTCTGGAGACCCGCACCCGCCCAAACCCAGGACTAACCCAGGACTAACCCAGGACTAACCCAGGACTAACCCAGGACTAACCCAAGACTAACCCAGGACTAACCCAAGACTAACCCAGGACTAACCCAGGACTAACCCAAGACTAACCCAGGACTAACCCAGGACTAACCCAGGACTAACCCAAGACTAACCCAGGACTAACCCAGGACTAACCCAGGATTAACCCAGGACTAACCCAAGACTAACCAGGACTAACCCAAGACTAACTCAGGATTAACCCAGGATTAACCCAGGACTAACCCAGGACTAACCCAGGACTAACCCCGAGAAGACCGCCGGATGTCCGCAGGCAAAAATGGAGGTAAACGCAGCTGTCCCATGATCGCACTTTGTGGACACCTGCTCCTCTTACTCTCTTAAGTACCCGACATGGAGCAGGACTCTGACCCAAGCTGCCACGGGTGTGAGTGTGTGTTGTGTGTGTGTGTGTGTGTGTGTCAGGATCCTCCGATGCAGTGAAGGCTGCAGCCCTCGAAGTCGCCTCCGCAGACCACAAGATCATTACCGAAATATGACAGGTGTTTACAGAGCCGCTCCCGTCGCCCAACAACCAAGACACGCACCAACACGAACAACACACACCACACACAGATTACACACACACACGAACAATAACAAAGATCACACACGGGGAATTAAGTTATTCTTATAATTCTCATCCAAACCTTATGACTAAAAATGAAAACTTATTTAACTTTTGCAAAATAAAATGGTGATATTTCTGGGATACATCTAAAACAGACTAAATTACCTTAAATTTTAAAAAACAGTGACGAGATCTGCATTATTAAACATTATTATCATTGTTACCAGCGCCACTTACAGGTGTGGTTTATTTATTACATCGTTTTCACTCCGGTGTCGCCTGGACATGAATATTTATTGATCTGACGAGTGTGGACGCACATTTTTTTTCAACCCGCAAAAAAAAATAAAAAAAAAACAATAATAATAATCCAGGAGTGTTGTCGTGTGGCGTCGCCTCAGTCAATCGGTGGTGAAATTTATTGAAATTTTACCAGAAAATTTTACTAGTTACATCTTTTTTTTTTAGTTCTACTGAAATGTTTCCGAATGCAGAGATGTCAAAACCTCACCATGAACCACAACACTAAGATTCTGCAGTAAACACTCATGAGCGCTCCCCCTGCTGGTGGACGCGCCGCACTCGACACACTCGTGCTAATGCTGATGGGGCTATTAGCACAGAATGATCGCATTAATTAATATTTCATAGCCCCTTAATGATCCGCGCTCATATTATTAGTAATTCTAGCACATTCTGTACGTCTGTGTGCCTCCACGTCGGAACAATGGAGGCGGTTGTGGACTTTTCACACAGATTTCTCATTGTTCCGTGATGGTAATGGGGCTGGAGACGGTTCCGTGTGCGTACGTTTCCTCCAGTGTTTCTATTTGTTTAATAATGAAACACAATAATAACGCGTCTGCATCTTAAAGCTCTTGAGCGCGAGAGGAGCCGTGCGCCATCATCATCATCGCTCAGACCCGTGCGTTCTCATTATAAATGCATCGTGTACGGTCTTTTTTTTTCCACAGGAGCAGCTGTTTGGCTCCGAGGGTAAAGCTGCCCGACGAGTCTGTGCCACCGTAAAACTTATTATAAGATCTTAAACAACACGGATTAAACCGAATGGACTCCTGCGAGCTTCAGTCCAGTTTAAAACCGTGTTCCCTCCTCGAAAACAGACCTGCAGCCGTGTTTTGTTTCACTCACACGTGTTTGAGTGGCTCTTTATTATGAGTCTGTCTACATCTCCAAAGCTCTAAATGGTCTGGTCCACCTCGTGATGTCATGAAGTGGTGGTTTTCAAGTGAACAGCTCGTTTTGTCTTTTTTGTTTGAGCTAAAATGACTCCAAAAAAGAAACAAGTGCACGTTAGAAAACTGATGTCCAATGGAGCTGACGAGGCCGTAAACCAGGACCAGGATTAAACCAGGACTACACCAGGACTGAGCCAGGACTAAAAAAGAACTAAACCGGGGTTAAACCAAGACTACACCAGGGTTAAAGCACGACTAAAACAGGACTAAAACCGGGACTAAACCGGGACTAAACGAGCACTGAAACGGGACTAAACCAGGACTACACCAGGACTGAAAAAGGACTAAACCAGGACTAGACCCAGGACTAGACCCAGGACTAAACCCAGGACTAAACCCAGGACTAAACCCAGGACTAAACCCAGGACTAAACCAGGACTACACCAGGACTACACCAGGACTAAACCAGGACTACACTAGGAGTAAACCAGGACTAAAAAAGAACTAAACCGGGGTTAAACCAGGACTACACCAGGGTTAAAGCAGGACTAAAACAGGACTAAACAAGCACTGAAACCTGGACTAAACCAGGACTACACCAGGACTAAACCAGGACTAAACCAGGACTAAACCAGGACTAAACCCAGGACTAAACCCAGGACTAAACCCAGGACTAAACCAGACTAAACCAGACTAAACCCAGGACTAAACCAGGACTAAACCAGGACTAAACCAAGACTAAACCCAGGTCTAAACCAGGCTGTGGGGCTCCTCCTGTAGAACTGTACGTGACCATTGTTTTAACATTTGTACCAAAATGACGACGCGACACTGCTGAATCTTACGAGTATCAGTAATAAAGAAAATCAATCTGGAGAAGGAAGTGTGTACGTCACTGCGGGCGTGTCACGGCGTGTGTGTACGTCACTGCGGGCGAGCACTGGTGGAGCGGAAAACGGCAGTAGATCGACAAAACGGCGTCCTGAAAATAAGATTAAAAAAAACCTCAAACACGGCTCAGTCCAAACAGAAGCTGAGGCGAGTGAAGTGTGAGAGGAGTCGGCTGTAACGCGGTGAAGCTGTGGAGCGTCTGGAGCGAGGCGCGGGGCCGAGCTCACATGTTTCTGTCATAACCAAATGAGCGTGTGCATAATTCACCGAGCTGCACCTGGAGACGCCTCAATAATTCAGAGCAGGATAATCACATGACTAATGAAAGACGGCGATAAATCACAACACAATAACAGCAGCGGCTCCATCTGTGCAACAACTCTCACACTCTCTCTGTGTGTGTGTGTGTGTGTGTGTGTGAGAGGCTGAGGGCCCAGGGCAAAACACACACTGATCATATATACACACATACAGACACACACACACCGATACACACACAGACACACACACAGCTCATATAGAGAGACACACACACACACAGAGAGATACACACACAAATAAACACACAGGCACACACAGAGCTCATATACACACATACAGAGACACACACAGAGAAACACACAGCTTATACACACACACACAAAAACACACACACACACACAGATACACACATACAGACACACAAATACACACACAGAGCTCATATACACACATAGAGACACACACAGAGATACACACACACACAGAGAGATACACACAGCTCATACACACATATACACACAAAAACAGATACACACAGGCACAGACACACAACTCATATAGAGACAGAGACACACACAGAAACACACACAGAGCTCATATACATACATGCAG